TGAGATGGCTGGGGGGATTCAGTTCTCAGATCGCGCGCGCTGGCGTCAATATGTAAGGACATAAGGCCAGGCAGGTGGTTTGCCACTGCTCTAATAAAATAAAACCCTAGTTACAAACCACCGTCTTCCCAGATCAGGAAATCCTTTATTTCTCATACCATTTAGTCTCATTGTTACTTTAAGAAACAGGTATGAGAAATTTTGAGATTAAAAGTAGCTAAATGACATGCTTGAAGCTTGAGGTACCAAGTGATAGTATAAAAGGAAAAGCCAACTGTCACCTTAGAGCCTAGAACTCTAACCATTAGATTCTTTATAAAAAGGTGTTATTTAATAGAAAACAGGCAATAACAGTGACTACTGTTTTTTATTTTTAAAGCAGTATACTCCCTAGTTTCTTTCCATGCATGACCAACCACACATTTGCTGATGGTCCCCGAGAGTATATCCTCACAAATAAAAGCACAATTAAATATAAGCTCCAAGAAGGCAGGAAACCTGCCTATTGCTCACGGCTGTGTTGTCAGGAAAGAGAGGAGTGCCTACCAAGAGGACATTCAATACATTCTTCCTGAATTCACTTACTTATTTACTCAGAGCCCAAGGAGATCATCTGTGCGTCAAAAAGTAAGCCACTGGCAAAGGGTGACTGTCACCCGAAACTATGTTCTGAAGTGAATTACTAATATCATCGCTACAGCCCTAACCGGTTTGGCTCAGTGGATAGAGCGTCGGCCTGGGGACTGAATGGTCCCAGGTTTGATTCCGGTCAAGGGCATGTACCTTGGTTGCGGGCACATCCCCAGTAGGAGGTGTGCAGGAGGCAGCTGATCCATGTTTCTCTCTCATCGATGTTTCTAACTCTCTATCCCTCTCCCTTCCTCTCTGTAAAAAATCAATAAAATGTATTTAAAAAAAAAATGTCATCGCTACAGGAACACGCAGATACACAAGAGTAAGAAACTGAAGTAAACAGCATGAGGAGTCTTTCGGGCACAGGAGAGACACTATTCATTTCTGTAGTCTAGAAGACCAGTTTCCTAAGCGGTTTTTAAACATGCGTTCACTGCAGGAAAACGCATGATGTGCTTCGTTAATTCAATCAGAACTAGAAACTACTCTGGCTCAGGAATTCTGCCCCTGATGTTGTGACTTGAAAGGCATCGCTGGCAGACGGCAGAAGACAGGTGGACACTCACATGCCTCAGCCCCTGGCGCTGGGGGCACTGCATCCGACTGCTGTTCTGCTGAGGCTGAGCCGTCTGCATGTGAGGCCTGAACTGGGGCTGCGACATGGGCATCAGAGGTGGCGGGGGAACAGACAGGTGGTGGTGGTGCTGGTGCTGCTGCGGCTGGTGAGGAGGCTGGTGCTGCGGCTGGGGGGGCGGTGGGTGCTGCGGAGGTGGCTGCAGCGGGGGCTGCTGCTGAGGCTGCGGTGGAGGCTGGTGGGGAGGGGGTAACGGGGGGTGCAGGGGCCCCTGCCATGCCAAAAGAAAGAGAAACAAGAGTTTATAATGCATATACTAGTTATGTTCCAATTCAGCCCTTCCCTTAGAAACCCAACACCAAAAAGAAACTTGAAGTGGTACAAATTTCATTTCAGATTTGTTGATGGAGGTGATGTTATATTTACTCTAAGTCCTTTTAATCTCAAAATTCCAAGGATTTGTCCTAAGGAGATTGGTAAGGATACAAACATAACCTCTAGGATCTTCCCCGCAGCACTGTCTCTAAGAACGTGTGCAACCCAGCGACGCCGTCAGTGCAGCCTATGAGCGGGTCTGGTGTGCAGTGACAGGTAACTCCCTGCGGAAAAGCATGCTGAGGACGGTGCTCTGAAGAGCCTGAGAAGCATGAGCACCCAATGCTAGTGGTGACTGTTTCAGATGCCGGGCTTACTTTCCTCTTTAAATACTTATCTCTACTTGAATACTTCTACAATGAAGATGTAGTCACTGTATTTTTTTTAAATAAAAAGAAAAACAGGGAGGTAGAAGAGGGTAAAGGTATAAATGGCAATAGGAGGAGACTTGACTTGGGGTGGTAAACATGCACATACAAAAAAGAAAAACAAAGACATTTTATCCTACTCTAACACTCTAAATAATCACCATTTTCCTCTTTTCGGTATAAATGCACACCCTCTGTGTTCCTAAGCTGCTTCAGGCACGCCACCATCATGTATTTAATCCTTTGCTTCAAGAAAAGTGCTGGGAAGGAGGAGCTCACACATCCAGGCCGCCCATGAGAGAGCTCACCAGCAGAGGGCACTCAAACTCATCCAACGAGGAGGAAGGAACAGCAGCACTTCCCCCAGGGGGAACCTTCCACTGCACACTGCAGTCATATCAGCTGACAAACAACTTTATTTCCCCTGTAAACCTTATACGACTTCCAGTGATGAGCAAAGATATTGTCAAAATACATCCTAGTTATATTAGCAGTACAGCCATTAATAAAACTTTAAAATCTTAATACTGAATGTTTTCACTTCCCCAAAATTCACAATCACCTTTTCCATTTCCCCTATGACTAAGGAGATAACCAATACTGTCAAGAGATGATCTGTTGTAAACAGTTAATAGCCTTCTTCTTTAAATAACCTCCCGATCTTAGAAGACTAGAATGAAAATATGAAACTTTGTCTTCAAAAACACCAGACCCAGACCTGCAGCACCCTCCTCCTCCTCCACAGGCCACCTGCCCCACAGCCCACCCGCCCCGAGTACCTGCAGGTTAGGCTGTGCGTGTGCGGGCAGAAATGGCTGTCCAGGGCCCGGCAGGAAGGGCTGTCGAGGAGGAATGAAAGGCCGCGTGGCAGCGGACCCTGGCTGGCTGAAGTGCAGCAGGCCCACGGGACCTGGAGGCTGCAGGGTGGGCCTCACAGGCCTCTCTCTAGGGAACACGGGCTGCTGTCCTTGCTGATTAAAAGCTGGTCCGGGCTGAGTGAATGGTAAGGGACTGGGCGTGGGCACAGGGTGAGCGCTGCTGAGAAGTGTGGGAGGGGGTGGCGGTGGTGGGGGGCTTCGCTGCTCCAGAAAGAGATGACTCGGGAAACGAGGTTCACCTGAAACTGAAAGGCACCAGGATGTCACCCTCTGGCTATACAGAACGTGCACTCTGTAGAAAGCTGGTGCACACAGTCTTCCTACAGACAAAATTCCAAGTGGTGGCAGGGTGCGAATGCTTGAAAAGAATCCTAGATTTCCCCTTACTTCTCCACTGCTTCACTAGTCATTTTCTAGAACTGATTTCCTTTTGTGTATGTGAAGTTCACATTTCAGACACCAGTCCTGTCCACTGTTAGCACTGGAAATGACAGGCAGAAGTGCTAGGGCACAAGAACTGGATGCTTAACAAAAGCTCCTCACGGGAGCTAAATTCAGTTTAAAACAGAAGTGTGTCCAGGCCCATCACTGTCCCTTACCTCCTAAGAAGAAGGGGTCTCGCTCCTGGGGAGGGGGTGGTGCTCTCCACTGGTCCTGCAGAGGAAGCCGCGGGGGCTGGCTAAAATTGTTGGGAACCGGTCCAGGGGTGTGCTGTGCGAATTCTGGAGGGCCCTAAAGAACAACAGGGAAAGAAGATGACAGGCAGAAAAATACCCTGTACATGGAGCCGAGTTTTCCCCTGAAAACATCAATTAACTTATCTCCCTTAGCCCCCATCCCCCCCAGTTCATAACTACATGTTAACAAAGTAAATGATTCAGCCATATGAAACAGTCAAACATCAAAACACAGCATCTAAAAATTAATTCCTTGTTTTCATATGTCTACAGCACCAAAAGAACATTCTTTTTAAGCTTATTGAAATCCGGGTAATTATTGACCTTCTTGCCTTTTCATCCGAAAGACACAATTCCCCTTTTGGATGTTCCTGATATTTATCTTCTCAAACATGCTATTCTTTGCTACCTTTTTAACACAACCATAAGCTACAGATATTAAGCTGCTTTACTTCAAAAGAAGGCAAAATAACAGAATTTATACTACAACAAAAATCAGCAATCTCTGACAAAACAGGAAAATGTGAAATGTATAAGAAACCACGCTACTACAAAAGAAATATTACATAGTTGGATTCCACTGGATAAAAATTTCTAAACTCTTAAAGATTAACATTATTTAGTAGCTAAATGTTTACTAGTAAAACTCTATAGGTAAACTAAAATTACTTTATTTTCAGCTGGTCTTTCGAAAAGTCAAAGATTTTTAAAAACAAACATTTGCTTAATAATGCCTCACATTTTTGGATGCATAGAAAGAAGGCCTCACCCTGAGGTGGGGGACAGAGGCAGACTGGAGGGAGTCGATGGGGGAAGAAGAGGTCATATGTAATACTTTCAACAATAAAGATTTTAAAAGAAAGAAAGGCCTCACAATTTCCCCTCCTCTAGAAAGAATTCATTAATATACACATCACCAAAATAATTTCTATTTAATAACACCTCATTCCTTGAAACTCAGCCATTATTTCTCAATTTTTAAAAAGTAATTTTTGTTGATTTCAGAGAGGAAGAGAGAAAGAGATCGAAACATCAATGATGAGAGAGAATCATTGATCAGCTGCCTCCTGCACGCTCCACACTGGGGATTGAGCTTGCAACCTGGGCATGTGCCTTGACCTGGAATCGAACGGTGACTTCCTGGTTCATAGGTCAACATTCAACCACTGAGCCATGCTGGCCGAACATTTCTCAACTTTTTAAAACCACACTCCCTTCTCATAAAATTCTAATTCGTTTTCTGTCATTTGATTACTAATACAATTAGCTGTGACATATTTTAAAACGTTGAAAAGCTTTTGCAAACTACATTTGCCTTCCTTCTCCCTTTAAGAATGTGCTCGACCCATGGCATTGCATGAATACAAAATGAACACGAGTATAAACACAAACCTGTAAGACCCATGACTATATGATGTTAAAAAAACTATGTTTAAGCACAAATATTACATCTTTATAAAAACAAACTAATGGCCCGGTGCACGAAATTCGTGGACATTAAAAGGGAATTAGAGAAAATATTTTAATATTGCTATTTGCCCTTTCTCTACAATATAGGTGTCAGAGATGAAAGAAAATTAGTAAAATGTATATGAAAATCTCCCTCCTGTCAGAGTCTGGGGCGCACCGTGGGACCCAGAGTAAAGTTCCCACCCACCCACACACGCCTCAAAATCACGGGAGACCCAGACCCAGCCGGCCCCACCCCCGTCAAGCCCTGCTGGGGGGGGGGTGCGGCCTCAGGTCCCCTGTCAAGCCCCACTGGGCAGGGGGATGCAGCCTCAGGTACCCCGGCCCTGGCGCGAGGGCGCAAGGGCGTGATGACCATTTGCATATTAGCTCTTTAATATATAGGACACTAGGTACTTATTAAAACATATGGAATAGGAAGCCCCCAAGATTAAATTCTTATAGTCTTTGTTACTTTAAGTGAAATTAAGGGAATTCTCACCTTACCAATGTTTGACATTAGGGATTGCCACTTCTCACCTCTAGATTAAGGACATCAACTGAGACTACCAGAGCAATAAACGTTCAGTAACTGAGAAGTGTAAAATGTACAAGTGAGAACACACAACAGATGCAATCGTATTACAAGTAAATGTATACATTTTCTCACATTAATTTGAGACTTTACCAATATAATGCTTTGACATGGATATTCTTCAATATTTAATATTTTTACTATGGTAATACTACGCTAGAAAAAAACGCTGATAGCGTGACTGTCTCACACTGTTACTTATCAAATGCGCATGAGGACTTCCAATGAGCTTGCCTCCTTCCTGCCATGGCCCCATACTTTCCTCTTGTTCTAAAAAGATTTTTATTTTGCCCTGGCTGGTGTGCTCAGTGGTTAGAGCATCGGCCCATGCACTGAAGCATCTCGGGTTCAATTCCTGGTCAAGGGATTCCTGGGTTACAAGTTTGATTCCCGGTCCCAGGCAGGGCCCATTCAAGAGGCAACAGATTAACGTGTCTCTCACATCAATGTGTTTCTCTCTCTCTCTCTCTCTCTCTCTCTCTCTCTCCCCCCCCTTCTCCCTCCTTTCCTCCTTTCTACTCTCTCTAAAAATTAATGGGAAAAATATCCTCAGGTGAAGATTTTTAAAAATTGTCTGATTTTCTGTTTGAAGTCAACAAAATAGGTACTGTGCATTTATGTGCACATGTATTTCAACAGGTAACTAGACAGAATATGTGTTTTAAAGGATTTATTTATAAAATACAGCATTAGTATCCTATCTTCAGTTTCATATATCTTTTTTCTCATATATATATATTTCAAAACTTGGTTTAAAATTATCTTCCAAACTTTCTGGTAACAAATTAGCAACCAAGGTCCTATTTTTTTTTTTTTTTTAATGTTTAAACCATTTCTCTTGAAGTGGCACTAAAAATAAAGTTACAAATTGCCTGCCCTGTTTTGTGGCAAGGTTTGACTGGTCACCCTGCCTCCACACATGCAATGTGGCGACCAATCAGCACCCCTCACCCGCTCAATAAAGCCTCTGTCACCTAAGCAGCGGATTCAAACTGTTTCCATCTATACTTGACTGTGCCTCTTCTGGGGAAGGGGACACCAGGAAAAAGTTTCAAACAGGTAAGTACAGAAGGAACAGGATAAGATTCATTAAAATAATGTACAGTGAGAAATGCAAAACCCACAGATCACAAGCATGCTCCTAAGACATGAGCGGGACAGCACCACAGCCTGAAACAAGCTACTAATGTAAAAGGTCAAAGAAATCACTGAGATTTAAATGTTCAAAATGAGAAAGTTATTTTTCATAAGGTTTTAACTTACAAATTAGTAAAATATTAACACCTACATGAAGACAAATGACAAAACATTTTCAACCTTTAAAGCACAATAAATAGCTCTCCCCAAATACTTTATTGTGGTCATTTATAAATAGATGGGTGTGGTCTGCACAGGAGAGAGGTTTGGGGGGATGGATCTCAGCAATGCAACAGCGCCCATGCAAACCCCCCAAAAGCCCCCTGTACAGAAGTGGCCTATCAGCAGGGGCGCTGCTGCTTTGGGGACAGTCCAAGAGAACTGGTCTGGAGAACCTCAGGGTCCAAGCCAACTCTCGGAAGCACTTGGTCTCTTCGTGTTCTTAAAGTCATACAGCAAATGGAAAGACCACTCTATTACTACATCTGGTCAGATTTCTCATTTAAAAAATAGGACAAGTATGCTGAATTACAGCCAGATGGAAGCATTAGGCTACTGCGTCTATACCTGTGTCGGTCACCACTATGTAATGAACTGTGCTTTTGCTCACAATTAGATGATGTTTGGAAGGTTCCTGACTCTCTGTCTTGACTAGTAAACACGGCTTTCTTCCTCATTTCATAGGAGAAGCCTTGATAGCTATTGCTACTTTCCTTACCCGGCGCACAGAGAACTAGAAAATACCTGGTTTCTCCTGACGTCTGTGGTCCTTTATGAATTCCATGATTGCACTTCACTGCCACCCGTCTCGGGAGGATTGCTGCTGAGGCTCTGAACAGAGCTGGCCATGCCGTGGCTGTCCCAGGCCTCTATGTAACCTTCCCCTCCTCCTTCCATTAGAGAGTGACTTCCCAGTCCTCCCACAATTGGTTTTCTCATTACAAATAAGGCCAAACGCAGCTGGAAGAGCAGACTGGCTTCCCCCAATGCAGACAGGAGGTCTGCTGAGTTTAGATTCTGACTCTGCCACGAGTGGAGCTAAGAAAAGTGTTCTCTCCTTTACCCCTTCACCCTCTTCTGGAAGTTCCTGCTCAATTACAGGAACAAATTCAAAGAGAGACTGAAGTGGTTTAGTTTTCAACAGAAACTTCAAGATGTCTAAGAACTAGGTACCTTATTTCTCGGGTCTCTAAGCACTTGCAGATTTCCTGGGAGATTATTTTAAATATTCATAAACTCTAAAGACATTTTTTGGTATTAAACTGAAAATATATTGGGATCACATATCTTGGCCCCTTTGGAATTTTAATATTGTGTTTTCATCACTTCCCCAAACCGTCTTTTCTTTAATTATCCATGTGCTGTCTAACCAGATACACACAGGTATTCAAATGTTACGGACTCTTTCTTCAGCAGTAATATTTAACCAGAACTTTATTCTATGATCCTTTATCCTTTATCCTAATAAGTGAGAATGCTCAACTGATAGGCCTGTGTCTCCGGCCTTCCCACTCACTAGCACAGCCTTGAGCACATGACTGAACCTCTCTGGGCCTCGGTATTCCCATCTGTAAAACAGTCCTATCTCCTGGGAGAAGTTACAGGAACATGCACGAAGTACTTATGACAGTCCCCAGCAATAATGAAACCTCACTGTGCCTGGCATTGTCATTTTTATAACACAATTTTGCAGACAACATTCCACCATAGGTGTAATACACAGCTTCTGACAATTATGTTTCCTGATTAACTGAAAGACAAATCAGCATAGATCCCTTCCTGCATCCTCATTCTGATTTCAAACCAGAAAGCCTGCTCACATAAGGTGTGGCCTAGCCCAGGAATTCACCTCCTAAATCTCTCTTAACTCTGCT